CCCCGCCCCCGCGGCCGAGACCCCGCCCCCGGGGGGGCGGGTCAGCGGCCAGGAGCTGCGGGGGGGTCCGCGCAGGCTGGAAGGCCCAGGCGCTGCCAAACCGGGAAACCTTTATTAAAAATAGACAGAGACTTTAAACACTTCACTACGGCGATGGGCGGAGCGGGGAACGTCCCGCAAATAGTTACAGCAAGGACTGGACGGCACCGCAAGGACCCTCGCACCGCACCGTGGGCGAGGAGGAGGAGGGTGGCCGGCCTTCCTCAGTCTATGCTCAGCCGCTCCCGGTTCTCCCAGAGCCATGCGTGGTACACGTTCAACTTGTGGTCCTGCGGCTGTACCTAAAGCACACAGAAAGGGGTTAACGTTTACCGAAATACCTTCTCTTACATCACCTCCCCACCCTGACCTATTTTCCCTCCCAGCTCAGGACCCCCGCTTAAGGGTCAGCCCCAAAACCACCCACCCCTGTGAATCGGGAGGGGGGCCCTATGCCAGAGAGCAAAATGGCCCCTCAGCTGCCCCTCACAGCCACCCACCACAAGGGGATCCCGGCACGGCAAAGGCCCCACCTGCACCGATCACGGAGGGATGCCAGGATCTGGCTGGCAGGAAACGTAGGGAACCCGGTTCTTAACCAGAGCAGGGAAAAGACTCTCACCCGCACAGCAAGGAAATAAGAAACAGAACACAGTGAAAGTGGAGAATTACGGGGGGGTGGAATCAAGGTGGCCCAAGTCCTCCTTTACAGGTTCAGACCTGTAAAAGGTACACTCTGGGAATTCAACCTACTCAAGACATAAAAATTGCCTTTTTTTTTTTTTTTTTTTAACCCAAGGGAGTCCACAGGTACAAGCCCAGCAACACCAGCAACGTGGCCGCAGACCGAGCCCTGGCACTGCAGCTGCACCACCCACCTCCTTCCATTCGTTGACACAGAAGATTCTGTAGGAGTCGTTCCCATACTTCCCAATGCCGTGCAGCTCGATGGGGTACTTCCAGCGCTTGCTCAGGTACTCATCTGCAACGCAGGGTCACAGGCTCCACTGCCTGCAGGCAGGCAGGGCGCAGAAAGCAACTCTGGACAAACTCCCGATTCTCTGCTATTGTAACACGTCTCCACTTGGGAACATTTTAAATGAAAAACACAAGTTTTAGCTATTTCCCAGTCAAAGTAGGTGAGGAATCCCTATGGGGTGCATCTTAAACACATCACTGAGGGCGAGTCTTAATTACCTTTCTCTCCTCAGAACCCACAGAGGACTTTTATTCTAAGTATAGAAAATATCAGAATCACAGAAAAATTCAGGCCGGATGGGCCTTCTGGAGGTCACCTGATGCAAAGCAGAGCAGAGTCACCTTATCACAGTGCTGCAAAACGCAAAACCAGTCCTGCAGGTGTTCATATTTTTTCCCACTCAAAGAAGTCTCCCTGACAACAGTCTCTCGCAGAACTCATTATGTGTATGTTACTTCATTCTCAGTTAAGACAACAGGATCAGCTGCTTTGCATATGTAAGACCAACATATCCCAAAGTTGCATAAAACAAGCCACCACCAATATTTGCCAAAGAGAAGGAAAAGTCACAGAGCACTGTTTGAAAATAGTGCTGTTTGTCCTGCTAGTATAATTTAGACCATTCCACAGACATATTCAGGAAAACCTACCTGAGAACTTGATGATAGTTTTTGCTCTGAGTTCATAGAGGCCAAGAGGTTTGAGCAGCTCCGACATTTCTTTCCAGTCTGCAGTCCTGGTTATTTCAGGAGAAGGATACTTCTTCAGGAACTCCCAGAGCACAGGAATTGCCATTTTACCTAGTGAAAGAAACCATCATGAACAGAAGGCTGTGCGGGCAATTCTCTTTTTTGATTATCTATGTATGCTTTTTGCAGTGAGCTTTTTCAGAGGCAAGAGTTACAAATTAAAGACTTTTTTTTTTTACACTGACACAAATTAATACACATTTATTCTTTCACTAATGCCATTAAAAAATAGCAACTGTTCTGACCCTATACCACCCCCCCAACATTTATACAACATGAAATTGTATTACTCTATTTACCTGAAGTTTTATTGAGAAATATGGTTCCAATAAGAAGTTTCCACGGATCATGGAAAAGCGTTTCTTGGACCAGATTAAAAGGAGAACGTGGAGGAGTCCATTTTCTGAAGGCCTTCCTTCTAGGTGGGCTGGGAGCTGTACACAGAGGCAATACAGGAAAATTTATTGGGCAGTAAAGGATGGGCTTACCTATTTGAATGAAAATAATAACAAAAAATGAAGACCTTTTGAAGCAGATTCATCTTTGTGGGGGCACTATATGTGGATGGAGCAATGGCAGCTCCCACACAAATTTTACAGAAATGCAAGGGACCATGCGTCCCCTAGTACAGACTTCAGTAAGAGTCCAGGCTGCCTGTGTGTGCCCCCATGTTCCACGTTACATACATTTTCTGAGGAGAGAGGCCCTCCCCAGCCACCACCACGCTCCTGTGCGGGTACAGAGCAGCACCCGCAGGGTACCAGCTTTCCCCCTGACAGGAGAAACACCTCAGCGGTCTGAAGAGAACTTCCCCAAAGCCATTCACCTCATCACCTCACAGTTGCTGAAAGAGCTGCCAAGGCATTTAATACCAGCCTTAACGGTTGTTTGTGAGACACAAACCACCGAGGTTTAAAACGGGACAGGATCAGGACTAGTGCAGTAAGCCGAGCTCTCTGATGCCACCTAAGCATGGCCTGCCTAAAACTGGAAGAAATCTTCCATAACATCACTTGATCTTGAGCCATCCTATTCCTCTCCCGATAAAAAAAAAAGATTTATTTCCCCAAAGAATGTTATACCTTCTTTACTGTATTTACTGGAAAAATACGGACTCGTTTTCCTCCTATCCACTTGCGTTCGTGGGATAGATTCTTCTGTAAAGAAACGATACTTTAGCATTAAAAAGAAAAAAAACAACTAAGTATTTTACTGTCACGTTTCATACACCATTTCCGCTTTACATTGTGATGGAAACACAAGGATTTCTCGTAGGTGTACAGAATATAAACATGCTTTAGATTCACTCCAGTACTCCTCTGTATTCCAACCCTATGAAAAATCTTCAGAAGGTAAACTGTTACTTTGCCACAGTCTAAGGAAACAGGCTAAACTACAACCGAGGATTAAATGTTGCCCACACACTCTAGCACATGAAAACAGCTAAAACTCACCTTTTTTAAGAATTGAGCTGACCAACTGTGCAACATTAAAAAAGTTAGTGCAGCAAAGGTAATAAACATTATTATATTATACTATACTGCTAACGAGATTGGTAGAGTAAGTTCCAGTTGTGAATAAGTCTGCATTAAGTTAAATGCTGTTGGATAAAGAAATGAGACGGATTCAGATGTCAAAGCAGCTTGACCTGAAACAGAGTATTTTACTTGTATAGTTAGGAGAACCCCTGGCAGAACATTAGGATCACATTCTGCTCAAAAACACAGATATACCTGGTGGCATTTTAACTGCTGTGAAGCTTGTCTCGTCACATGGCTGCAAGACATTAGCATACATTTCAGTGTCAGATTTAAAATCCTAGTTACCTGGACTCCCTCGGTCTGTCTCTTCCCCTGTTTTCAATCCGTTGGTTTTCTCCTCAGATTTTGCAGAAGATGTGACATTAGATCCCGTCTCCACACATTCCTCCTCTGCCAGGCTCTCCAACTCCCTTTGCGAGCGAGCTGTCACTGACCTTAGCTGTGTGACTGACCGTGACCTGGACATTCTTAACAGAGCTTTTCCTGCATCCATAGGGTCTGCATTCTGACCATCTATGCCCTGACTATCAGCAACACACAGGGCTGTCTTTCTACAGATTTTCTTATTTTGAACGCACTCAGTTTCCTGTTTGTTACATACTCTTCTCTGTCTTTTGTTTTGGGTATTATCTCGATTCCTCTTTTCTGAGGTCCTTCCAGTTTTGTTACCCTGAACGCTTTTTCCACCTACCCCCTTTTTTTTGGTTTTTAAACAGTCCTCTGGGTCTATGCCTTTCATGAGCAAATCTTTGCTTTCCAGAGTGGTTGTAACATCTTCCAGCTGTTCACATTCAGTCTGAATGTTTCGAGTTCTATCCTCTGCACCATTTTGTATACTGAGGCCTTGCACTTGACTCTGACAATCCTCATTCTCTAAAACAGTCCCCGCAGCTTTTGTGCTGTATCTTTTCACCCTCGAACGGGTATTCCTCTGATAAGGAGCTGTAAAATCAAAATCTTCTGCTTTTAGCGTCATCTCCCCAGTTTTCCGAAAATACTCCATGAGCGCACGTTTCGATCTTAGCTTATTTCCTTCAGGGCTGTGGTAGGGAAGAAAAATAAATTAGCGATGACTTCTTCATTCTCTCGCGCTTCACTTAAAAAACTGTTCTAGAGTTTAAAAAAAAAACCAGACCAAATGACAATGACAGCCGACAGGGTGACGTCTAGGCAAGTTTCTGCGACTTGACCAAAGAAGGTGTACACAGAGCATTTACAGATGACCCTAGGCGTGCTATGCACCTCACCTCACGAACTCTGTGCGGCATGAACGCGTGTTTACGCCCGAGTGCAAGCTTGTACTACCGGGAGGGGAAGGAGCGGTTTGCCCAAAGGCGGCGGCAGCAGCTTCCCCCTAGCCCCGGCCCCGGCCCCGGCCTCACCTGACAAAGTACACGTCGATCCTCCCTGCCGTCCTGCCCGACTGCCTCCGCCTGGTCACCTTCTGCCAGCCGCCGGGGACGGCGCTGGGCCCGGCCGCGGCCCGTTTCCTCGCGAGTCCCCTCTCCGCCGCGGCGCCGGTGCCCCCACCGCTGGGACCGGGACGCTCCGCCACCTCCTCCTCCTCC